GGTGGTGAAGCCATGAGACGCTGTGCCCCCAGAGGCCACAGGGATTGCAGAAGGACGTTTGTGAGCACCTCATGCGTTCCTGTGACCTGAGGTTTATGGAAATGGAAACCACAGTCGAAAAGCCAATGTCACACTCATTCCTCCTTCCTTTTCTCCTTTAGAATAAATCTTAGAATGTTTCATGGAGTAGCTGAGAAAATAAATGATTTCAATTTTATTTCCAGGAGGACAGAATGCACAGCAGGGGCGTCCAGGCTGCATGGGATCTGCCTGGGGGTCCGGTCCCCCCCGGGCCAGAGCTCTGAGACGAGGCTGTGCGACGTCTTTTGTCTGTGACCGTTTTGGGCAACTGTGTGGATCCTCTGTCACTTGCCCATGTGACAGCTTCATTCATTGGTCCACTCCCGTAAGGTGGTCAGATGTGCGTGCTCTACCGGGCTTCCTGCTCAAAGTGGACCCTCTGTTGGAGTGAAGGTGGCTGTGTATTTGGGGACAAAACCTTCCAAGGAAGCCAACAGTGAAGTGCCTGGTGTCTAAGGATATCCTGCTCAGTGGTCTCCGCTGGGAAAGCCTCTCTGGCCATCCTGCCGGAGAGGGTCACGTGAAAACTGGTCCATGAGGGGCTGCTCTACTCCTGGGACTACCTGGACACAACCAGATTGAGGAGGCTGGGCCCCCGCCCTGGCGGCAGATGGTACGAGCATTCACTCAAGGCGCGTTCAGTGAGTCACTGCTGGCGCGGTGCTCTCCCGTAAACAGTGAATCCGCAGCACACGGCAGATGGACCAAAGTCTGTTCTTTTCAAACACAGCCGCCGTGTGCGGTGAGGCTGGGGTCGCAGGGCCCAGGCCTGCTGGGGCGGCCCCTCTTCCGTCCAGGTCACTCTGATCCGGGCTCTGGCCTCCAGAGCTTGGTCCTCAGGGCAAGAGCCAGATGGGAACTCCGTACCTGACTGACTCAGCGCGGGCGTCAGCCAGGGCGCTGCCTCCAGGACCGGCTTCGGGCAGGAATCTTCACGAGGCGCCGGCGAGCTCCGTCCTTGGCCGAGGCTCTGGGGCCAGAAGGCCTGGCATTTCCTGGGTCCGTTCACCAAGGGATCTGGCCGTCAGTTCACACTGATGGCCCCTCCCGTGCAGAAGGGCTGGAAGTTGGAGACGCGGTGCACGTCGAGCTCTCTGAGCTCTGGGGGAGGCTGCTCTGCTCTCCTGACCCGAGTTCAGCGGCCTGTCGCTTATTTTATCTCCCCAAACAAAACAAATTTCTCTCCATTTTGTCCGATTTCCTACCAGATAGAATCTTTTGTTTTCACTTGCGGCCTCGACGGCTTCCAAGAATTTTTTCTTCTCCAGCCGCCCAGGGTTCCCGGCCCGTGGGCCGGCTCCAGCTGAGGGTGGGGATTCCCTCCTCTTCCTTCCCGGCTTTGTCCAGCTTCCTGCGGCCGGCACGGGGCCTCGGCGTCTGGGGCGCGGCCGCACGTGCTCCAGCCCTGTGGAGGGGGTGCGGGAGGCCTCCTCCGATCCCTGCCCTCTGGCCGGAGCAGGTTGGCACCGCAGGACCTCGCTCGGACTGCAGCGTCACCTGCTGCGGGAGGGAACTCCATCCAATTTTAGGGGGATGCCCGGGAAGATACCCAAGAAAATTAGTTTAGGAGCCGCAGCCTTGTTCCAGCATCTTTTCAAATAGAGAGAGGGTTTCTCCCTTACAGTCCTTCCTCCAGACTGAGTTTTCATCCTAAACGAAATCTAATCGACTTGGGAACAAAAATCTTAAAACTCGACATGGCGACCGTCTTAACCACCAGCATCAAGTCTGAGGAAGGTGCCTTAGGACGGGAGCTGGGACCTGGCACCCCTCGGCCCTGCCTGTTCATCCATTCAAACAGCACTGGCTTCGTTCCCGCTGATGCCGGGCCAGAGCGTGAGGATCTTACAGAGAGAAAGAGATACAGTCGCTAGCCCTGTGGGCTGCTGTCCAGCGGGGAAGACAACGTACTGAATAAGAAAAGCCAGGCTCGGCACAGGTCCTGCATTGAGGGCAGGAGAGCGAGTCCTCGAGGCTCCGCAGCCTCGCGCGCTGGCCTGACCGCCCGGGGCCGCCGTGGACACGTGCACGGATGCACAGCCTACCCAGCCGTGTCCGGTGGCACTTTGCTTAGAGAGGTGGGTGGCAGGTGGGCTTACACTGTGGGCTGGAGCTTTGCCAGCCCCGATCAAAACAGCACACAGGCGACTGAAAGAAGCGGGGCGTGTGTGCAGTCTGAGCACATGGAAAGGAATTTGATACTTTGCAGAGCTGGGTGATGGGAAGAAAGTAGGTAAAGAGGGAGAAAAGAGCATCTGATTCAGGACGTGTTCCGAGGTGAAGCTGGACTGTTGTCTCTATTCCGGGAATGATGGAGCGTGTCTCATTGGGAAGCGCAGCACAGGTGTGTTTGGGGCCTCCCTGCTGGCCGTGCTGTGGGCCTGGCTGGGCGCTGGGAGGCCAGTGCGGCTGTCCTGGGGGGGGTGGCAACAGTGGACAAAGGCCATGGCTGTGCAGGTGGATGGAAGATCAAACCCAGGCAGTTCTCAGCATCAAACCATCAAGATCTGGGTGAGGGCGCAGGACGTGTCAGGATGACCCCCGGGGCCTGGCCTGCCTGGTGGGTGTGTCATTTCTGAGATCTAAAACAGAAGGGGGGCGTGGAGAATGGGGAGGCCTTGAGGTCCATATGGGGGTGCTGAGTTGGGTGGCTTCTGTTTATCCAAGGAGGCAAGAATGGGGGGAGGAGGGGGCCCCAGGAGGCCGCCCCCTGACCCCCTGTTCCAAGGTGGGTCCACCTCTACTTGGGACACTCGCCCCCTTCAGACTCCTCCCCCACACGCAGTTCGTGACCCAGTGACAGTAGCAGACTGAGACATCCCACCAGTGTGACCGAAACTCCCAATCCTCGCCTCTGCTATGGTTTCTTATTAGAAAATG